GCTTTCCATTCCATTATCACTCAACCCCAGGAAAGGAAAACAACACCAAAGACTTGGAAATAACTTCACTTGTATCTCCTCATCCAACTGGCCATGCTTGCTCAGACACTGATCATCATTGGGTCAGTGCAATGGAATTCCTTACCTAACATCACTGTGAGAACATCATTACCTTAATGACTGCTAGGGATTGACTCAGTCCCTTTTGTCTATACCTGACATATGCTTCCTTCTTTTTTCTTGACCAGAACCTCAATTTCTCTAGTCATCCAGCATTCTCTATACCTACCAGCCAAGCCCTTCAAACTAACAGGAATATACTGTCTCTGGAATCTCGGTATCTCATTTTTGAAGCCTTCCCACTTTCCAGCCATCCCTTCACCTGAGAAAATCTGCCCCCAATCAACTTTTGCCTAATACCATCAAAATTGGCTTTCCTCCAATTTAGAACTTTAACATTTGGATCAGGTCTATCCTTTTCCATAACTATTTTAAAACTATTCAAATTATGATCACTGGCCCCAAAGTGCTCCTCCATTGACACCTCAGTCACTTGTCCTGCCTTATTTCCCAAGAGAAGGTCAAGTTTTGCTCCTTCTCTAGTAGGTACATCCAAGTACTGAAGAAGAAAATTTTCTTGTACACATTTAACAAATTCCTCTCCACCCAAGCCCTTAACACTACGGCAGTCCCAGTCTATGTTTGGAAAGTTAAAATCCCTTACCATTACAACCCTATTATTCTTACAGATAACTGAGGTCTCCTTACAAATTTGTTTCTCAACTTCTGGTGGACTATGAGAGAAATCTATAGTACAATCCCAACAAGGTGATCATCCCTTTTTTATTTCTCAGTTCCACCCAAATAATTTTAGCGGATGCAGTCCCCGGCATGTCCTCCCTAAGTACAGGCAAAATGCTATCCCTAATCAAAAACGTCACTTCCTCTTCTCTCTTGTCCTCCACTTTCTATCCTTTCTATAGCATCTACACCCTGGAACATTAAGCTGCCAGGCCTGTCCATCCCAGTGCCACATTTCTATAATAGCTATGATATCCCAGACCCATAGAACACAGAACATAGAACATTACAGCGCAGTACAGGCCCTTCGGCCCTCCATGTTGCGCCGACCTGTGAAACCAATCTGAAGCCCATCTAACCTACACTATTCCATTATCATCCATATGTTTATCCAACTACTGTTGCAGGCAGGGCATTCCACGCCCTTACTACTCTGAGTAAAGAACCTACCTCTGACATCTGTCCTATATCTATCACCCCTCAATTTAAAGCTATGTCCCCTCGTGCTAGCCATCACCATCCGAGGAAAAAGGCTCTCACTGTCCATCCTATCTAACCCTCTGATCATCTTGCATGTCTCTATCAAGTCACCTCTTAACCTTCTTCTCTCTAACAAAAACAGCCTCAAGTCCCTCAGCCTTTCTTCATAAGACCTTCCCTCCATACCAGGCAACATCCTGGTAAATCTCCTCTGCACTCTTTCCAATGCTTCCACATCCTTCCTATAATGCGGCGACCAGAACTGTACGCAATACTCCAACTGTGGCCGCACCAGAGTTTTGTACAGCTGCAACATGACCTCATGACTCCGAAACTCAATCCCTCTACCAATAAAACCTAACACACCGTACGCCTTAACAACCCTATCAACCTGGGTGGCAACTTTCAGTGAGCTATGCACATGGATACTGAGATCTCTCTGCTCATCCACACTACCAAGAATCTTACCATCAGCCCAGTACTCCGTATTCCTGTTACTCCTTCCAAAGTGAATCACCTCACACTTTTCCGCATTAAACTCCATTTGCCACCTCTCAGCCCAGCTCTGCAGCTTATCTATGTCCCTCTGTAACCTGCAACATCCTTCCGCACTATCCACAACTCCACTGACTTTAGTGTCATCCGCAAATTTACTAACCCATCCTTCTACGCCCTCATCCAGGTCATTTATAAAAATGACAAACAGCAGTGACCCCAAAACAGATCCTTGCAGTACACCACTAGTAACTGAACTCCAGGATGAGCATTTCCCATCAACCACCACCCTCTGTCTTCTTACAGTTAGCCAATTTCTGATCCAAACCGCTAAATCGCCCTCAATCCCATGCCTCCGTATTTTCTGCAATAGCCTACCGTGGGGAACCTTATCAAATGCTTTACTGAAATCCATACACACCACATCAACCGCTTTACCCTCATCCACCTGTTTGGTCACCTTCTCGAAGAACTCAATAAGGTTTGTGAGGCACGACCTACCCTTCACAAAACCGTGTTGACTATCCCTAATCAAATTATTTCTTTCTAGATGATTATAAATCCTATCTCTTATAATCCTTTGCAACACTTTACCCACAATCGAAGTAAGGCTCACTGGTCTATAATTACCAGGGTTGTCTCTACTCCCCTTCTTGAACAAGGGCACAATATTTACTACCCTCCAGTCTTCTGGCACTATTCCTGTAGACAATGACGACATAAAGATCAACGCCAAAGGCTCTGCAATCTCCTCCCTAGCCATGTTTCCAGCCATGCCCTGAGTTCATCAGCCTTACCTGTCAGGCCTCTTGCATTGAAATAAATGCAGTTTATCAGGCCTACCTCGTACTCTGCCTTGCTCCTGCCTGCCTTGTTCGACTTGCTCCTTTTTTCAAATGCAGTGGCCTCAGACTGATCTCTTTTCTCACTATCTCTCGAGCTCCTCCCGCCCAAAATTTACTAGTTTAAGTCCTCCTGAGTAGCTCTACCAAATCTCCCTGCCAGCATATTAGTCCCCTTCCAATTCAGTGCAACCCATCCTTCTTATACAGGTCATGTCTAACCCCAAAGAGATGTTGTCTGTACAGACATTCAGTAAAGCATTCGACAAGGTCTCGCATGGTAGACTGGTTAGCAAGATTAGATCAAATGGAATACAGGGAGAGCAAGCCATCTGGACACAAAATTGGCTTGAAGGTAGGAGACAGAAGGTGGTAGTGGAGGGGCTGCTTTTTGGACTGGAGGCCTGTGACCAGCAGTGTGTCGCAAGGATTGGATCCACTGCTTTTTGTCATTTACATAAATGATTTGGATGTGAACAAAGGACGTACAGTTAGTAAGTTTGCAGACGACACCAAAATTGGCGGTACAGCAAAGAAGGTTACCTCAGAGCACAATGGGACCTTGATCACATGGGCAAACGGAGTTTAATTTAGATAAATGTGAGGTGGTGCATTTTGGTAAGGCAAATCAGGGTAGGACTTGTACAGTTAATAGTAAGGTTCTGGGCAGTGTTGCCAAATAAAGAGACATTGGGGTGCAGATTCACAGTTCCTTGAAAGTGGAGTTGCAGGTAGACAGGACAGTGATGAAGGCATTTGGTACACTTGCCTTTATTGGTCAGTGCACTAAGTATAGGAGTAGGATATCATGTTGTGGCTGTACAGGAAATTGGTAGGCCATCTTTGGAATACTGCGTTCAATTCTGGTCTCCCTGCCATAGGAAGGATGTTGCTAAACTTGAAAGGGTTCAGAAAAGTTTCACAAGGATGTTCCCAGGTTGAAGGGTTTGAGCTATAGGGAGAGGCTGAATAGCTGAGGCTATTTTCCCTGGACCGTCAGATGCTGACGCGTCAGAAGTTTATAAAAGCATGCGGAGCATGGATAGGATGAATAGCCAGGGTCTTTTCCCCAGAGTGGAGTCTAAAACTAGAGGGCATAGGTTAAGGTGAGAGGGGAAAGATTTAAAAAGGGACCTAAGGGGCAACATTTTCACAGAGCGTGGTGCATGTATGGAAAGAGCTGCCAAAGGAAGAGGTGGAGACAGGTATAGTTACAACATTTAAAAGGCATCTGGATGGTTACATGAATAGGAAGAGTTTAGGAAGATGGAACTAGATTAATTTAGGCTATTTGGTTGGCATCAACGAGTTCAGCCAAAGGATCTGTTTCCATGCTGTATAACTCTATGAGTGCTGTGGCTCAAAGAGGTCCAAAATCACCAGCTTCTCATGGCAAGAAGGGAGGGGCCATAAATGCAGTCTTATCAGTAATACTTGGACGGCACGGTGGCTTTGTGGTTAGCACTGCTACCTCACAGCGCCTGGGACCCAGGTTCGGTTCCAGCCTTGGGTGACTATCCATATGGAGTTTGCACACTCTCCCCATGTCTCCAGGTGCTTTGGTTTCCTTCCACAGTCCAAAGATGTGCAGGCTAGTTGGATTGGCCATGGGAAATGGATAGCTGGCCATGGATAATGCAGGGTTACAGGGATAGTGTAGGGGAGATAGGTCTGGGTGGGATGCTCTTTAGGGGTTGGTGTGGACTTGATGGGCCAAGTGGCCTGCTTCCAAACTGTAGGGATTCTATGATTCTAGCATCACTACAATAAATAATGAAAAGGAAATATGCTGTTTGAAAATAAGAGCAGTTTCACAGAAAAGTCATATTGGACTCAAAACATCAACTCCATCTGTCACTCTCTCTACAGATGCTACCAGACCTTATAGGGTTTCTCCAACACTTTTAAATCCACGTTTGAAGTTGATAAATATTTTTACCTTTTAGATTTATTTTAAGATAAAAGTATCAGTTGAGATTAAAACCCCTCCATTTCTTGCTTTTATCAGATAAAGGAAGGAAGAATGTGCTGAGGATAATGAACTTAAGACTAGAAACAAAAACTGACTGATAGAAGGCCCCATAAAAAAAATCCTCTCTGCTCCTTACAATGGAGGGAACCACAAAAAGGACACAGTGCTGAGATAGCTACTTTTACTGAAAATTTACAGCACTGATTCTGTAAGTAAATCATATTGGGCAAGAAACATAGGAAACCTCAAGCAGTCAGAGATGAAAGTTGGTGATGAACACAGGAACCATCATAGAGGACTCAACTAATCTTGTAACAATAGATATAACCACTCACCATCAGACCTGAAACAAACTGAATGACTGAGAAAAACAGTAATTCATAATAGATTTGCTCAGGCATGAGGCTTACCTCAGCTTCAAATCGGATCACCTTCTCCTCCAAGAGTCGTTCGTACTCTTCCTTTTGATGCTCAAGCTCTGATTTTAGGAAAGTGTATTCATAACGCAACTTATTATATTCTGCCCTGTACCTTTCAGCTTCCTAAAATATTGAAATATTTCTAGTTATATACATAACTCGAAGATACATACAATTCAGTAATTCCACAGAATTTATAACATAGATTTTCTTCTCTTCATTCCTACCTCCTCTTGTTTCCTGAGGCGTTCTCTCATAGGTGCCTCCAGATCTTGTTGAATTTGTGCTTTCAGTAGCTCCAGCTTCTGAGGTGTTAATACCTGACAACAAAGAACAGGGGAATACAGAAAAGATTTTCAAATCTCTGAATTGTTATGGAGGAGACCATTCTGCCCATTATGTCTGCACTGCCTTTCCCAATGGGCTTTACGATTTTCCTTTTCCTGTAAACCTGTTCATTACCTGAACGGAAAATAATTGTCTAATGGCAATTGGTTGAATGCCTTGACTGAACCTGCCTGCACCACACATCCAGGCAGAACATTCTAGATCCAAACTACCTACTGTGAAAAATTATTTTTTACATTGCATTTCCCACTTTTGCTAATAACTTTCAAAATGTGCTTAACCCTTTTATGAGTGGGAGCAATTTCTGCCTATCTACTGTGTCCAGACCTCTTGATTTTTAAAATTTCGATCAATTCTCACTCAGCCTTCTCCTCTCCAAAGAAAACAGTCTCTAAAAATCTTCTCTAATCTCTCTTTATAATTAAATTTCTCATGGTTGTAAATTTCCTGTAGTGTCTCCAGTACTGTCACTTCCTGAAGTGTGGCATTCAGAACTGTATACAGTGTTCCAGCTAAGATCTATCTAGTGACCTGTACAAGTTTGGCATATCTTCCTTGCTCTTATATTTTATACTACAGTTAAGAAAGCCTAGGATGCTATATACTTCTTAAACTGCTCTCACCAACTTGCCTGCCATACTCAATGACTTAAGGCACATAGATACTGATGTCTCTGCTCCTGCATTCCCTTCAGGGTAGTATCCTTTACTTTATACTGTCCCTCTGTGTTCTTTCAAAATAAATGGCTCACGCTTCGAGCCATAGAGATATACAGCTTGGAAAAAGACCTTTCGTTCCAACTCATCCACGCCGACCAGATATCCTAAATTAATCTAGACTATTTGCTAGCATGTGGCCCGTATCCCTCTAAACTTTTCCTATTCACGTACCCATCCAGATGCCTTTTAAATGTTGTAATTGTACCAGCCTCCAGCATTTCCGTTAGCAGATCATTCCATACCACATCACTCTCTGCGTGAAAAGTTGCCCCTCAGGTCCCTTTTAAATCTTTCCCCTCTCACCTTGAACCTATGCCCTCTAGTTTTAGACTCCTCTACCCTGGGAAAGAGTCCTTGACTACTCACCCTATCAATGCCTCTCATAATTTTATAAACTTCTATAAGGTCACCTCTCAGCCTCCAACGCTCCAGGGAAAAGGGACTAGACTTATTTAGGATACCTGGTCGGCATGGATGAGTTAGACTGAGTGCTGTATATCTCTATGACTCTAAATCAAACTATCCCCATCACTTCTGCCATTCCCACTTATCCCAAACAGTCCCCTATCATTGGCAAATGTCATTAACCATGACGCAGCACCACCAGTATCAATTACAAGGTACCACAGAAGCAGACCAATTGCACTTAAGGAATTTGCCGGCTACCTGCCCTGCAGCATTAATTCATTGGCACAGATCTTGGGTCATCTCTCAGCCTCCAACGCTCCAGGGAAATAGCCCCAGCCTATTTAGCCTCTCCCTATAGCTCAAACCCTCCAACACTGGCAACATCCTTGTAAATCTTTTCTGAACTCTTTCAAGTTTAACAATATAATTCTATAGCTAGTATTTCCCCTTCTCTTTGTTTCTCTTTCTGTCCCTGATTTTACTTAAATTCAACTGATTTCCTTTTCCATCATTTCTCTATATATTTCTCAATTCTTATATCCCAATTAGCTAAGGAGATAAGTTGTTGATCCTATCATTCACTGAGATCCCAGATGTCCTGTCACCCTCACCTCACTGTTATCAGCTCACAATCCCAGTGAGGGAGAACATTTGCAAGCTGACAACTGCAGGAACAAATCTAACAAGGCATGTCGTGAGATGCCCAACTCCAGCAAGATCTGTGCCGATGAATTAATGCTGCAGGGCAGGTAGTAGGTAAATTCCTTTAGTGCAATTGGTCTGCTTTTGTGGCACCTTGTAATTGATACTGGTGGTGCTGCGTCATGGTTAGTGACGTTTCCCAATGATAGGGGACTGTTTGGGATAAGTGGGAATGGCAGAAGTGATGGGGATAGTTTGATTTAGAGTCATAGAGATATACAGCACTCAGTCTAACTTGTCCATGCCGACCAGATATCCTAAATAAGTCTAGTACCTTTTGCCAGCATTTGGCCCATGTCTCGCTAAACCCTTCCTATTCATATACCCATCGAGATGCCTTTTAAATGTTGTAATTGTACCGGCCTCCACCACCTCCTCTGGCAGCTCATTCTATTCATGTACCACACTCTGTGAAAAAGCTGCCCCTTAGATGCATTTTAAATCTTTCCCCTCTCACCTTAAACCTATGCCCTCTAGTTTTGGATTCACCGACCCCGGGGAAAAAACCTTGTCTATTTACCCTATCCATGTTCCTCTCTGCATTGAACTTCATCTGATATCTATCTGCTGCTCTAGCAAATGGTCAATGCCCTTCTGGAGTTCTAGACTGTCCTCAGTTTATAATGCTTCCAAGTTTTGTTTTATCTTTAAACATTGAAATTATCCGCTGTACACCAAAGTCCAGATCATTCATTAAATCAGGAAGAGCAAGGGTCCTAATACAAATACCTAGAATTTCACAACAAATCCTCCTCCGACCTGAAAAAAATCTACTGACTATTAGTCTCTGCTTTAAAATGCAAATTCCCTTTATAATCCCGATTGGCCCAAATCCTAAAGAAGTCTTTGGAATTCCCTTTTATGCTGGCTGCCTCTTTTCATCAGTTTAATTGATTCTCTTGTTTGCTTTTTCACCACCCTCCTGAACCTGGTGTGACAATACCATGGCTTTAAGGGGTGTATTTTGTCCTGGGTTTTTTAAATGAAGAAAGTTTGAGGCAGAACTGCTGAGCAGTCTGCTAAAACCAATAAGGTGAACAGCTTGGTGAGGCCTTTGGTGTTTCTTTTAAAGTTGGAAGAATAGAAGCAGCCAGAATGGGTGGGTCAAGCTCCCACAGAACCAAGATTTTTAGTTTTAGCTTTTAGCTGTTGCTGGGATCTTGAACTAGAACTCTTATTCCTCCCTCTCTTTCTCTGTTACAGCCAAAAGCTGGGGTTATCTACCTGTGGTTAGAATTACATGCACGACAATCTATTTTACTGAATTTGCCTTTTCCAACAAAGTGTTTATGAGATGTTACTATAGTGGAACAGTTAATTACTGTAGTGATTACAACGAGGTCAGCCAGGTGGATCTCATAGAATAAGTTCTCTGATTGGGGCTGTTAATCTGGGTGACAGATATAAACAGGAGTGTCAGAGGTTCTGCTTACTCTGAAGGAGCAGGAGCAGGAGCATCTGAATTGCATCTGGACTGGTGTGTTGTTGTGTGTCTCTAAGACACTCCTTGGGGGTAGAAGAAGCCACTTCAGGACTTTTACAGAGATTTATCAAAGCAAAGCTTTTAGAATTGACAGACCAGCTAGATTTGGGGTTGTTTGTCAGTGCAAGAAGGGGAGGTATTTGTAAGCAATAGCTTGCCATTTATGAATGCTTGGAAATGCCATTGGAATAATTGGAAATTGCTAAAATTAAACTGTAAATGAAGCAGCTTGAACATGAAAAGGAAATGAAACAGTTTGAATTATGACTGCAGGCAGAAGAAACTGAAAAGTAATGCCCTAGCAGAAGAGAGTTTGTGTTTTTAGCCTTTTTGGAGGTTGGAACTGAAACTCAAAGTTGACTTAAAATTGTGGGGGTAGCAGTGACAGGGAGAAGTGGTGAGGACAGCAATGAAATGCAATCCCATTGTAGCCAAACCCCAGGTGGGGATCTGTTTAAATATGTCCAAGCTATGCCAAAGTTCATCAAACGTGTAGAAGCTGCCTTCTTTTCATTTGAGAAACTGGCTAAACAATCAATGGCTGGTGACCATGTGGGTATTGATCCAAACAATGTTGGTAGGTAGAGCTAGTGAGGTATTTGAATCACTATCAAAGGAGGTATCTGGAGAGTATGATGAGGTGACAAAGCAAATTTAAGTACATAGGAGCTAGTACTAGAAGCCTACAGACTTCAATTAAGGAATTTGAGGAGGAAAGGATCAAACAAAGCAATTTTGACAGGTGGCTGGGGGATTGAAAATAAATCAAAATTATGGTCTTAGATGGTTATTTGGAGTGTAAAAATTCACTTCTTGTAGTGAGTACTTGTGTAAAAGAGCAGAGTTAAGACTAAGATTAGCAGCAGAAATGGCAGATGATTGAGTTGGTTTATAAGTCAAAGTTTGGCTTCTGACATCAACTTCATTGAGAAAAATAGAAATTGGGGAAAAGATTGTTTTTCCTGTAGTAAACAAGGAAACCCATGAGGAAGAAATGCTTTTTTAAAAAAAAACTGTCTTTTCACTATTTAAAAAGAAGCCACATGAAGTCAGTGTTGGTGGCTTTGAAAAAGCACAAAAGATGGCAGTTGGAAAACAGGATAAGCCAGTGAGTTTTGAAGTAAAAGGAAAGCACAGTGGAAGCCAAAAAAACTGCAAATGAATGTACAACCTGGTCAGGGGATTTTTTGAGGAGAAAGTACCAAATCTCAAGAATGTACTTGTATGAGTAAGGTTTATTATGTATGCCAGGAGCAGCAGATAGAAATTCTTATTTTTTGAAAGATAAGGGAACAATCTGTCTTTGGTAAGAGATGTGTAATTCAGAGTATTGCCAGAAAACTGGTACTATGTGGAATTTGTGGTGAGAACAGCAGTGCTCACTTAAAGTGAGGTTAGACAGTCCAGTGAAAAGTGAAGTGCTGGTGGGAGTAAGAAATTCTGTTTCAGAAATACAATTTATCCTTGGTAATGATATAGCTGGATCACAAGTGGAAGAGATGCCTACTACATTTGAAAAGCCAGTGGAAAATCAGGCAACTGATGTGTAACACTGTATATACAGTGGGAATTTTCCTGACTCTGGTACCACAGAAGGAGAAATCAAAGAATAAAAAAAGAAGTTAAAGATCAATTACCAACATATGTTTGATCAAATGGT